GGTAGCTCTGCTGTTCTGCACGGTTACTTGATATTAAGGCCAGCTGTTTGGGTTGGGGAGGGGTAGGCACAAATCACCTCACCGAACCTCCCCCATTGGTCCCTAAACGGAACAGCCACGGGCCCTGGGGAATGCGGTGTGAAAACCACAGAGGAGGGAGGCGACCATCACCCTTCGCCCTTCGCAGTTTCTAAGGCAGTGATTCTACTCAAGGGGGAAGTGGGAGGCATGTGAAACTCCCTGACCGGCTCTAAAACCTACCCCCCACCCGAGGCAAAAGCCTGAGAACCTCTTATGGCAAAAGGCACCTTCTAAATCTGACCAAGCTGTTCCTCAGTGCCGTCTGCAAGGCTCTGACCCTTGCTTGCCCTCAGGCCCTGGCCTCCTCTCCTCCCCACACACACCCTCCCCCTCACTCAGGCCGGGTCCCTGACCTCACCAAGCTTTCCCCTCTGGCACTGTGGGTCCCCCCACCATGCCCCGAGGCCCGTTCTTCCTCCTCACTCACCTGGTGGGTCTGGAATCGGCTAAAAGGCCTTCCTGAGAGCTCAGCTAAGGAAGCTCCCAGTCACACCTGATTTTAACTCACTACCTGGGACCTCGCTTTAATTGTCTCATTTCTTTATCAGGTTTAGGGTTTGTCTCCCTCAGCTCCGTGGAGGTGGCACCTCTGTTGAGTGCACCGCCATGGCCCCGGCACCCGAAGCAATGCCGGGCACACAGCAGGTGCTCAATAAATGACAGCGGAGGGGCACCTGGGTGGCTCAGTCAGTAAAGCATCCGACTTCAGCTCAGATCATGATCTCACGGTTCGTGGGTTTGACCCCCGCGGCAGGCTCTCTGCTGACAGCTAGCTCAGAGCCTGTCTTCGGATTCTGTGTCTCCCCCCCCTCTAACCCTCCCCTGCTCATGCTATCTTTATCTCTCTCTCAAAAATAAATAAAACATTGGGGCGCCTAGGTGGCTTAGTCGGTTAAGCGTCCGACTTTCGCTTAGGTCATGATCTCGCGGTTCGTGGGTTCGAGCCCCGCTTCGGGCTCTGTGCTGTCTGCCAGCTCAGAGCCTGGAGCCTGTTTCAGTCTGTGACTCCCTCTCTCTCTGACCCTCCCCTGCTCCCGCTGTCTCTCTCTCTCTCTCCTAGAAATAAATAAAACATAAAAAAAAAAATTTAAAAAATAAATAAATAAATAAATAAAACATTAAAAACTTAAAAATAAATAAATAAATAAATGGCAGTGGATCCCTGATGCACTCTGCAGCAATGCCTTAGGGATCAAATGCACACTTCTCCCCGGCCCCACGCAGCTCTGCACAGCTGACGGCCGCCGCCAGCATGTCTGCTACTCACCCTGCTTGCGCCCACCCTTCTGCCATGCAGCCTTCAAAAGGGCTGTTCTCACCTGGGTCAAGGCCCTTCCTGCCACTCTTGGGGAGGCTGCGGCAGAGATTCAATAAAAGGACAGGTAGGAAGGAGGTTTAGCAAGAGCCTGCCACGTGGAAAAGAAGCTAGAGTCTGACCCCGGAGGGCTCTGGGCAGCAGCTCTGGGCAGCGACCGTGTGGGAGGAGGAGGCGGCCTGGGTGCCGCATGTGCCACCCTTTATTTGATTATATGTCCCCACCCCCGCCCCAACCCTCCAAAACCTGTTTCCTCCTTGGGAAAATGGAGATGCTAATTTCAGCCAGGCCCTCCTCCCGTGTTCCCGGATGAAGGGCCTTCAAAATCCTAGCAGAAATGATGAAGAATTACAAGTGCTAAGCCACCCAAGGGCTCCCCGTGTGTAGGGCACTCTTCAGGAATAGCAAGAACAGAAAATGATTGCTGGAAGCTGTTAGGCTTGCACGGCTATAAATGCTTTCCACAAATCAACCCGTTGAACTTTCACAACAACCTACCGGGGGAATTCTCAACCCAGGGCACAGACAATGAAAACTCAGAAAGGTTGAGGAACCTGCTCAAGGTCACACAGCCAGGGAGTGGCAGGGCTGGACTGGAACCCCAGGCTCAAAGAATCACTTCAGTGCTGCTCTTTAGAGAGGTTAGAAACCAGGCCGTGGATTCCTGGATTCTGGCTGGGCCAGGCTGCGGAGCTCGACACCAGGCCACCTGAGAGGGCTGAGTGGGGGGTGAGGGGAAGACACCCTGAGGATGCCCTCGGGACTGCCGACTGATCCGCTGCACCGCTGTGCCATGCACCATTCTAGGAGCTTCTCGTGGGTCCCCCAGGTAGCTAGGTCACCCCCTGCTGTTCTCTCCTGGCTCCCAGCACACACTCTGCACCAGCTTCAAAGATGCCTGGCTCAGCTCTGAGGGGGGAACCAAGTTTCACCAGCAAGCCCAGAATCCCCAGACTGGCTGCCCGCAGAGTCCTGAGCTCTAAGCGTGAGGGGAAGGGGCTTGCCCACGAGTGCAGCGGGCAGGGTCCAGGGCAGCACCTTGGAGGCGACAGGGAACCCCTCCAGAGTCGGATCTGGTGAACAAAGAGTACATGACCCCAGGGGCAAGCTGACCAGGGTTCAAAGCCCAGCCTGCCGCCTAGGGTCTGACAGAGGGCAAAGCAATTCTTCGTATCTTGTTCAGCAAAATGGAGAGGAACACCGTATCTGCCCCCCAGCTCCCACCCCCAGGGCAACTAACCCACTGCTCCAGTTACATTGTCTACAGAGAGGTTCCCTGACGCCGACCAGGGCGAGGAGTTTCAATCACGGTTCTACTACTTCTGGCCATGACACAGCAGGAAAATCATTTCACTTCAGTGTCTCAGTTTCCTCATCTGTAAAATGGGCAGCACACGCCTACCCGGCTCTTAGGAGTCTAAAAAAGAGGCATCATCATACTTCCCCCATAGGTGTGTTTTGAGATTTAAATGAGATCATGGGTATACAACGGTTGCCACAGGCCTGACATACAGTGGCTGTTCAATAAGCTGCCTGTTCACTGGCTCTGGAAGGGATCTGCCTCTCTGTTCGGTTTCCCCTTCTAAAACAGAGATCGTGGTAACAGTACAAGCGGCTCTAGGATGTGAGTGTCCGGGACGCTCATCCACGCGAAGCATTCTGAGTAGCGTGTGGCACACGGCATCCACCCGATAAACGTCAGCCATCAATCTCACGATTACTGTTTTTACTGCCGCCACCAATCCCACCTGGTAGACCCTCTAGAAGCTGGCAGAAAGAGACCAGAGAAACAAAGCCCTGGTGGAGAAAAATTCTAGAAAGCCACCACGCTCTCGAGGACACTCCAGGACCGTTCCCTAGGCACCACAACCACAGAAGCCGGTCAGCCTGGAAGCCAATGATGTGGGGCCAGAAGCAACCATCTGCCCCCTTTGACCGTGATCACCAACCCACGTTAGCTGGGTCAATCAGGGACTACAGCCAGCCCTCTGGGAACTCCAGACCCAGGGCAAAGGCTACCAGGCAAGCCAAGGTCCCAGGTTGGCCTAGGGAGCAGGGGCAGGGGCTCCAAGCACCCACCTGGTGACCACAGTGAGAAATGAGATCTGCGGGGATGGGGGAATGTGGCCACCCTAAGTCCTTCAGAGAAATTGGAAGGGTCAGGCTGGGCCAGGGGCTTCCCCCCCACCCCCTCAATCCCCTTGGCCTATGCAGAGAGGAACAGCTGGGAAAACAGCACTCAGCCTCACTGCCATCTAATGGTGAAGCCAACTGTTATTGCCTGGTGGGGAGCGTAAACATGACAGAAGGGTGTACAGCTAACTAATCCGGGGGACACACAAACAGCCTCATGGCCCGGATGGAGGAGCCCCACATGATCTGTACTGGTGTCTGGCTCATCTGCATCCCCCACAAGGTCTGGCCAGGGCGGAACTCCCCCTGCTTCCCTGAGAGGAGAAAAGTGGTCAACGTTGAAAGGCAGACCGTAGAGGACCCACCTGATTGCTCTAGCATAGGCCTCCTGCTGAGCCCCAGCAGTTCCCAAATGAGAGGAAGAGGGTCTTCAGAATCCCAAGGATCAAGATGTCCCCAGCCACCTTGCCTTGGCAGAAAAGGTGTTCCTCTAAACACTACTTCCTCCGAAGGCTTAACAAGCAGATCCAGGGCACAGGCTTCTCAAATCTAAGCTCAATACTCCTCTCTCCCTAATATGGAGCAGAAAGCTCAGAAAACTTCAGACACTGGCTCCCAAAACATCTCCTGCCCAAAGAATCAAAATATTTGCCCCAGAGGTATCCCACACATCTCTAAATAAGGTTCAATGATATGAAAAAGCCTGCGGTAAACAACAATCCCAGTGACCATACAGCTTGCCCCCAAAGTCATCAAGAAGTTCAATACCGATCCTCCCAGCTCTAGCTCTGGGTAAACCCCCAAGCCCCACCCACCAAACTCGGGAGGCAGCAGCCCTTCCTCAACACTCCGCGTTACAGCCCTCCCAAGATACTCCACGGAACACCCACGGGGGCCTGTCCCCCACCCCCGCCCGTCCCTCAAAGATTATAAACAGCAGAACCCGCCTCCTTTGATACAGCGCTCCCCCACGCTCTCAGGATGCGCCCCCCCCAGCACTGCAGTGGTATAACCCACACGGCGCTACCCCGGCCGCACTTGGTACGGCTCCCTCCCCAGCAGCCCCCCACCTCCCTTAACACGCTCAAGGAACTGCTCCCACGGCCCCGAATAGGTACGGCCCCCTACACTCGGCAAGGCACGCACACCAGGCGGGCTCTCCCTCCCCATCCCACTGCCTCGGCCCCCAGCTCTTCAGTGGTTCGGCCCTCGCACTTCGGCGTGGCCCCCCCCCCTGCGCCGCCTCAGTGGTACGGCCAGCCGCCCCCGCCCCCGCCCCCGGCCCCTCAGGGGTAGTCTGACCGCCCCCCCGGCGCAGCCGTCCCCATTCAGTCCCGGAAGGGGGGGGCCGAGGACCGCGGTCCCCGCCCGGCGGGCACTTGTGGTACGGCCCAGCGCCGCACTGCGGGGGGTCCGGACGCGACCATCGTGTGGGGGGGAGGCACTCGGGGACACGCGCTGGCGCACTCACCTGTCACCGGCGGCCGCCCAGCCTTTCCGGCGGGGCCCTACTCCCGCCCATCGCCACGCTGCGCTTGGTCCCGCTCCTTGTGTTTCCTGGCGGCGGCAACTGCGGCGCAGCGGCAACGCCTTCTCCGAGCCAGGCCCAACGGCTCGCGCGGCGCTGCCCCCCCGCCCCCTCCCCCCGGCCCCCGCTTACCACCCCCTCCCACCCCCTGGCCGGAAATACCGCCCTCTCCCGCCACAAACAGGAACTGACGTCAAAGAGCGAGAGATGAACTCGGAGAGCGCTAGGGCGCAAGCGCAAGAAAGGGCAAGAGGCTGACTCAGAGCAGGACGCATGCGTACAGTAGGCTAGTTTGGGTCGGTGTGGGTTAGCGAGGTGCCACGCGCAAGCGCCGGACGGAAAGAAGAGGCAAGGCTGCGCAGGCGCAGTAGGACTCTGACGCCCGCTTTCCCTAAAGGCTCGCCGCAGTGATACTTCCCGGCAGCCCCTGGTCCTTATTTACATACGCTTTGATCTCGCTTTGCTGTGATCTCGCCTCTCCTCCCGGTTCCGAGGCTCTTAAAGAGCCCTGGAGAGGAGGGTTATGACAGTTGTCTTTTCAGTGTCCCCTCATGGTGAGCACGGGCCCTGAAGCCTCACAAACCCAGCTTTGCATTCCCTTGCTGGTGATTGTAGGCAGAAGACTTGACCGGTTTTCTGTGCCTCTGTATACACATCTGCAAAATGGAAACAGAGCTGCGTCACTGAGCTATTGGACTTTTTAATGTAAATAAACTTCATATCAATTAGAGATTCTGTGACTCTAAATATTAATCCTACCTGCTCATCATATGCGGGATGTGCAATTAAGTATGGACATAACTTTTATGGGGGTAATTTGGGCCTGCGAAGGCCTTAAAATTGCCCTGTAAGAAAAGAGCTTTGCACAGATCCTGGCCCACTTGTTAGCTAGAGTACTAGGCCCTGTGAGGCACCTGTCTCCCAGAACCTTCTCATAGGTTGGATCGGGTTCCAGTGTGCCAGAGAGCTTGGCAAGTGCACACTTCTAGGAGGCCTAGCTGGGAAGTGAAGAATCTTAGGTCCACCTAAGTCTGTGAGCGTGATGCGGGGGGCAAGTCCGGCTCAGAGGCGGGCCTTAGTTCCCCCAGAGATAAACCTAATACCGGAACTAGACCTTGGGTGATGGGTTTCCAGCTTGGAACTTGCTGCTCTGTATTCCTTCTTAATGGGCTTCCCCCATCACAGTGTTGCTAACTGCCCAGTGCCCCCCACCCCCAGCCCTGTGGTACGGTACTGTCTGGTGACAGGTCTGTCTTCTCCCCTGCGCAGAGAGCCCCAGGAGGGAAAAGACCAGGACTGTCCCAGTCATCACTGTGTAGCTAGTTGCCCAGCCAAAGTCCTGGCACAGAGTATGCTTCTTGCAGAATAGCTGTCTCAGGAATTAGCCCGCTAGGGGCGCCTGGGTGGCTCAGGTCATGATCTCACAGTTTGTGGGTTCGAGCCCCACATCGGGCTCTGTGCTGACAGCTTGGAGCCTGGAGCCTGCTTCAGATTCTGCGTCTCCCTCTCTCTCTGATCCTCCCTTGTTCACGTTCTGTGTGTGTCTCCCTCTCAAAAATAAATAAACATTTTAAAAAAAGCAAAAACAAAAAGGGGAATTGGCCCTCTAGACTCGGGGTTACCGTGGCCTACGCTCTTAGCCCCTTTCCATGCGGAACAGTTCATGGCCCATTCCCGTATTTCTGAGTCTTCCTGAGCTAATCCCTACCCATCCTGGGATGGGTTACAACACGTGGAGGGTCTCCCTGAAGCCTTGTGTATTAACTCCTTGGGGTATCAGTAGGCAGGGTAATGACAGAGTACACACACAGGTATGCTTACCTATAGACATACCTATATGATCTGTATGAAATGAAAGTGTCACCAAATACTATTTACTCATCAGTACCATGTACTCAGATTTGTTTTTCAGTGCTGTAAGAGGCCCTGCTGAACTGATTTTCTGACCTGCTAAAGGGTCTTGCCAGGCAGTTTGAGACCTTGTTTGGAGGTTTAGCAGGGGAGCGGTATGCCCTTGACCAAAGAATGGTCCTCCTCTATTGGGGAAAGTCATCCTCTTTGAGCGCGCAGCTTCGGGAGGGATGCACATGGAGCGGTGAGAGAGGGAGGGGACACCCACCTAGCCAGCCAGATCAGCGGAATCAACCCTGGTGATCAGTGGGGTGACAGATGTCACAGCCAGATCGCCCTCACATCCTTGCCTGGCAGTCTGAAAAACACCAGTTCCAATCATGCCTTTCCTGCAACCTTTCCTGTCAAAATAATTTCACTTCTCTGAGCCTGCCTTTCTTCACTGCAAAACGGTATCAACAGAATTTATTCAGGGGTGCCTGGTCGGCTCAGTTAAGTGTCTGACTTCAGCTCAGGTCATGATCTCACAGTTTGTGAGTTTGAGCCCCGCGTCGGGCTCTGTGCTGACAGCTCAGAGCCCAGAGCCTGCTTTGGATTCTGTCTCCCCCCATCTTTCAGCTCCCTCCCCCCGCTCATGCGCTGTCTCTCTCTGTCTCTCAATAATAAACATTAACAAATTTTTTAAAAATACAGAAGTTTCTGTTCCAAAAATTGTGATGAAGTCACCAGCCATCGTGCACGTTCGACTTTTTAACACCTCAGAGATTCCCAAAACGTTTCAGGGGTCATGCGAGGCAAATGCACTTGTACGCAGACCGTGGGATGAAGCTTTTTCTATTCTCGAGAAGATCGAACACTTTTGCCACCTGCTCTCAGCACACAGATGGCCTCCCATCCCATGTGGAATAAAAGCTAAAGGCTTCTTCATGGCCTTCAGGGCCCATGGGAGCGACCCCTGCCTACCTTGCTAACTTCATCACCAGCTACCCTTGCCCTTGACCACCACCTCTGACTCTCCAAAAATCCCCAGGCTTGTTCCCACCTCGGGGCTGTTTCACTCGCTGTTCTTTGGCCTGGACTGTTCACTCCCCCTGATGCTGATCTGTGCATGACTGGCTCTTTCTTGTCTTTCAGAACTTAGTTCAAATCTCACCTCACCTAGAGAGCCCCCCACCCTGCACAAATCCCAAAGAGCCACACTGTTATTATTTCTCCAGCACATTTGAATTCCCTACCTAGCACTTAACACTCAAGAGTATTTTTGTTGTTCATTGTGTAGCTGTGTTCCCCCAAAACCAGAATAAAAATTTGTCCCTGGTGGGGTGGATACCTTGTCCTGGGGGCACCACTGTATCCCCACCCCCTAGAACAATCCCTGGCACGTAGTTAGGACTTGGGGATCGATAAATACTTGTGGACTGAATGTGGTTTTGATTAAGAAGGTTATAGCTAATGGGGTGAGTTTTACTTCAGGTCTAAACTCGTCCACTCACAAAAACTTGAATAATAATAATCTCTTAACCTCTATGAATGGATTCCCACCTATCGGGCACGTTGGTAGGAACTCTATCCATGACCGTGTTAAATGGTCCCGCAGGTCGGAGTCTCTCTGCAAGGCTTGTTTTGCAGACATAAACATGGGCGCAAGGAGGGGAAGCCTCTTACCAAATACCACACTGCCGGAACGTTGTGGCAGCCAGAGCCATTCCCACAAACGTCTCAGGTCAAAGCCCCCACCTTTATACAGAGCACTGGACTTCACCCATATGGGTCCAGATTTGAGAAACAGTCTCATTTTTATGGATTTGAAACAGTGAAGTACTTAAAACATAGTTTCCTACATGATTAAGAAAAATTGAGGGGGGGGAGATGGGCATGGAGGAGGGCACTTGTGGGGATGAGCACTGAGTGTTATATGGAAACCAACTTGACAATAAACTATTTGGAAAGAAAAGAAAGAAAAGGAAGGAAGGAAGGAAGGAAGGAAGGAAGGAAGGAAGGAAGGAAGGAAGGAAGGAAGGGAAAGAAAGAAAGAAAGAAAGAAAGAAAGAAAGAAAGAAAGAAAGGAAGGAAGGAAGGAAGGAAGGAAGAAAGGAAGAAAGGAAGGAAGGAAGAAAGAAAAAGAAAAATTGGTATATGACTATCACCCAATTTTGTTTTAGGGCCTCAAGAAGGGAATCCTTTAACAGCTGCCCAGCGCAGTGGTTTATAAACTATTCCCACTGTTGCCGCGAGATGGCGCTACAGGAGCTGGCCATCCCTGCTGGAAGCCAGGCTGACTTGCAGGCATCAAGCCTTCCCGGAGCAAGAGGGGGGCCTTCCTTTGTGCTGTTACTTAAACATTCTCTGTCTATAAGAAAACCGTGACTGCGAAATTCGACACATGATCAGGAATTGGACTGTGAGCCGAGGGGAAGATGGCCATAAGGAACATTATTGGGACGGCTGATAAAATTGAAGTATGAACTGGCATTTAGACGAGTCGTATGTTAAATGTCTTGGATAGTTATACTGTGCATGTGGAAGAGAATGTTCTTGTTTTTGGGAAATACAAACACACGGGAGCATTAGGAGGTTAAGGGGCATGATGCTTTTCAACTTAATTTTCAAATGTTCAAAACATAACGTGTGTGTGTGTGTGTGTGTGTGTGTGTGTGTGTGTGTGTGTGTAGAGGGGAACAGGGGAGAGGGAATGATAAGGCAAATGGAACAATCTGGACAAAGCATATTCAGAAATCCCTTAGTCTATTCTTGCTACTTTTCCAGAGGTTTACTATTATATTAGTTACCCAAAAAGCCCTTTTTGTAGTCAGTGAGAACGTCGTGAAAGAGTTCTTTAAGCAGTGGTACTGAAAGTCATCAATTTCAGAGATAAAAATTAGATGATGACGCTGTGCCAAGGCACTGTGAAGCCCTTCCCAGTTGTTCTGGGAGGGAGATGCTACTATTAACTCCCATCTCCGTGTAGAAGCAAGCACAGAGAGGCTGAGTAACTTGCCCAAGATCACACAGCAACAGAGCTCATGCTTTTTTTTTTTTTTTCTAATGTTTTATTTATTTCTGAGAGAGAGAGAGAGAGAGGGAGACAGCGTAAGCAGGGGAGGGTCAGAGAGAGAGGGAGACACAGAATCCAAACAGGCTCCAGGCTCTGAGCTGGCAGTCAGCACAGAGCCCAACGCAGGGCTCGAACCCATGAACCGTAAGATCATGACCTGAGCTGAAGTCGAACGCTTAACCGACTGAGCCACCCAGG